TACATTGATACGATTTTGCCACATTATGATGATTGCATACGACATTCCACTTTGGTTGTTGTTACGCACAAACTGGCTTTGAGCACATTGCTTATGGTTTTGAATGCATCTCATTGTAATACGCTTATTTTGATTTCGATTACGAGTTTTACATAATTTCGGTTTAATACCACGTGTTTCACCATTTCGGGCGTTAGATTTCATTGCGCTATGACCATATTATTGAGCATTTTAAGTTCATTCTCATTCTGTTCCATCTCTAGTGATGATACACTTTACGTTAGTAATTCATTTGATTCATGATAGCATACAACGATCCAATTTTGTTACACTTAAATCGAACTTGATTCTATTTCGGTGGTTTTGCACATTTTTGCATTATACAACATTGATTTACATCCTCACATCACGATCTTGACCCGTGCACGTTTCATTTTGTTTTGCTTTCTTCTTTTGACTCAATTGTAATGAACATTTGGTTGTAAATATGTCGCGTGCGCTTCTATCTTTTGCATCTATGCTTGTGTTTTATTTTGTTGTTTGGTTTATTTTTGTATTGCAATTTCAGAGTTTAATTCTAATTTAGCTTTTGAAAATCATTTGGACACATAGATTCAATTTCTCGGCTTCTTATAGAGTGATTTCTACGTGAATCCACCTTAAGTTAGTTTAGAGTTAAATTTAAAACTTTAAGTTTTGGCTTATTTTTCCGTTGTAAATATTATATATAACTTAATAAGTTGTTGGATTTCTCATTGCGTTGCAAATTCGACTTTGAAATATCATTTTCACTCGGATTCTTAGAGAGTGATTCCTACATGAATCCACTTTAAGTTAGTTTAGAGCTAAATTTAGTGCTCTCAATTTTGACTTATTTTCGGACCCTTGGCTTTCTCTTGGGCCTTCTTACAATGAGGTCATTGTGTTTACATTTACTTGTTCTTATTGAATCAATTAATTGCTAATTCCACATTCTACTAAATGTACCCTCATTCTCATGATGTGTAATAATTTTACCGCTTTTCTTTATTTTGTTCTTATTGAATCAATTAATTGTTAATTTAAGATTAGCATAAAATCAAGTACTTCTAAAAAAAAGAACAAAACAAAAAGCGCTCAATCCAACGTCGAGTAATTTTCCTAAAAATCAAAGTAATTTCTACTATTCCGACTTCTCAATCATTTTCAAACCCTCAAATCATTTCATCCTGTTTTGAATCAACGCAAATAAAAATCTCGATCAACATCGAGTGCTTTCTCTAATTCAAAATTAAAACACCTAATCATACTTAAACACTATTTCATAGGGTGAAAACAAAGATGATCAAGAGCCTTCGATTCCTATCCTCGATTGTTTAGATACGAGTTTTCGTACTCGACCATTCGAGCAATCGTCATCCATTAAAAAATTCTAACTCGATTCGCTTCAAACTCTCTTCATAATAAAGCATAATCCAACTCATTTTCGTAATAACTTGGACGGAAAAGGAGGTGGTCTAGAGCCTTCTATTCCCTTTCCCAAGTACTTAGATACGAGTTGCCTTACTCGACCATTCAAGTATTTGTCATCCATCCAAAATACATTAACAATATTCAAATCCTTTTGCAATTAAGGATGAAAAGGTAGATGGTTTAGAGCCTTCTATTCCTCTCCTCGATTGTTTGGATACGAGTTGCCTTACTTGATAATTCGAGCAATCATCATCCAACAATACATTCAATAAATCAAACTCTTTTCTCACTGTCGCGCGATCGTTCAAACACTTTCCATAAACAAAAATAATTCGTCTCGGGATGATGCAAAACAAAGCTTTATCCACAAATGTGTGAGTTGAGATAAGTGACGTTTTCCCGTGAATGTTGATATGTAGAAATCCATTTGATGTGATGCAAACGCCCACTCCTCTAAACCATTTTACGTAAGCAATGTTTTTTCGTTGATTGTAACGAAATATATTTTGCTAAAATCGACCAACAAACAAACATTTCTACCCAGAACTACGTAGTCTTGAGTTCTCCATCGCACTTAGAGATACGTAGGAGCAAGATCCTCAATCTTGTCAGACACATTAGTAAAAAACTTTTTGTGAACCCTTTTCTTTTTCCTTTTAGCACCTTTTATCACACGAAGAAAATAATTGACGCATGCTAACATTCTAATCGCAAATCTAACTAAAAGGTTTCCGTTGAGTACAATGGACGTGAGTGGTGCTAATACTTTTCCCTTGCGTAATCGACTCCCGAACTCGAATATGCTTGCAACGATATTTTTCTTTTTTAAGAATTTGATCAATATCTTCAATTTCCTTTTTTTCAATAATTAAAGTTCGGTGGCGACTATGTTCGAATCATTTTCTGCAAGTGTGTGTACACTTCGTGAAAGATCGTATTTTTCGAATTACGATAGCCGCAAAATGCACTTGAAATTTGGATTCTCTATATTGGTCAATATGATAGTTCTCGTGCAACGATAAAATTCTAAGAGAATTGTAACTCCTCAAAAATATATATTTTAAATATAAAAATGTGTTTTACATGAAATTCATCAAAAATTACCATATTAAAAAAAATCCAATTTGATTTTCATTTTAAAATTAAAATCATGTATAAAAAAGAAATGATATAATCTTTATGATTATTTTATTCAAACGTATCTTATGTTATTAATTACTAATTTTGACAGGAATACAATATTAATTGAAGTTAGATTTAATAATAAATATCTCTTTACTTATCTTGTGTCAGTGCTCTTAAAATATTACTCGTTTAATTGAATTTTTTTTTATAATAATCATATATTGAAAAGAAATTATTAGAATAATCATTAAGTCAAATTTTTTTTTAAAATGGCTATGTATTCAACACAAGGTCGCTATTCAGATTGACGAATGAGACCATTTGAAATTTTGGAGAAAGAGAATTCGCCATGTGAAATGGCGAATGAGGCCATTTGAAATTTTCTCTAAAATATATACTTTGATTAGTTTTTAATAAATATAAATATTTCTCCAAAATTCCAAATGGCCTCATTCGTCATTTCACCTGGCAAATTCTCTTTCTCCCAAATTCCAAATTCATTCGCCAATCTGAACGGCGACTTGGTGTTGAATACATAGCCAATTTAAATTTTTTTTTGAATTAATGATTATTCTGATAATTTCTTTTCAATATATGGTTATTATAAAAAAAAATTCGTTTAATTCATTGAATATACATAATAATATTTAAAATATTAATTATTTATCTTTTTACTAAATTGAATAATATATTTTTTAAAAAATCATATATTTAAAGAAAGTTGTCTTGGTTGGTGAAGAGTTGATTAATATATCGAAAGGTACTGAAACCCAACTTTTTTATATGTTTTTATGTTAAAAAATCCAAAAATCTATAAAATGAAAAGAATTAGATCATTATTAATTTTTATAAATAAATTAATCAATATATACTATAGTATAAAAATATTTTACAATATCAATTAATTATAATAATTAAATTTTAATAAATATTAAAATTTATTTTAACATGCTATTTTTACACGTGAAAAATATAACAATCATTCTCTTTTTTATATATTAGTACATTATAATGCTATTTTTATTTTATTATAAAGTGGCTTTAAGAAAGATTCTATACTCAATAATTAGTATTAAAAATTCTATTATTATTATTTTTACTATTTTGAACACATATATTTTTAAAAAAGAAATAATTAGTATGTACTGTCAATATAAAAAATTTTTTAATATCAACTTATCACCATAATTTATTAATTTTATTTTATTAATAATTAAAATAAAAATCAAACTTTTTTTAATAACCGATCATTATAATTAACTGATAGTGTAAAATTTATCCGTGTTTTACAAAAAATCTATACCAAATTTAGAAGATAAGGTACGTGTGGCGCGAAGAAAACGGACACGTTAAAAGCATGAAATAAGAAAATAGGTAAAGCCAAAGAGGGTATTATTGTAATCCACTATTCACCCATCTTCTATATAAACGTTGCCTCTCCACATAACTAACATCTCAAACCAACTCTAATTATAATTTCCATTTTTCTAAACCTAATTTCTTCTCCTCAATCTCGCCGTTGCTCTGTTAATTTTTTTTTTCATTCTCTTTTGTTCTTCAATTTTATCATTCTCTGTAAGTGCATTGCGATTATCTTCTGTATTTTTTCTCTATTATTTGATTTTCAATTTCAATTTTTGATGAATTTATTTTTATTATTTTGATTTTGTTAAATTTAGGTAATTTTATCCGAAATCTTGATTCATAGAGGGGAAAACGAAAAACAGATCGATTTCAAATTGTTAAACAACAGTGAGTTTCAAGCTTTTATTTTCATTTTCATTTTTCGTATTCTTTTAGGTTATTGGTTATATTTTTGGACGCAGAATTATGAATATTTTTGAATGAATTAAACCAGAAATTGTTGATGAATAAAAATTTTTCATCTCCGTCTTGTTCATGATTTTTGTTTGTTTGTAATTATTAACCTATTTTGTTGTTGTTTTATTTTTTTGCTGTGTTTTTCAGGAAGGTGTGAATGAATTAATGGAGACAAAAGGTGGTAAGAAGAAGTCTAGTAGTAGTAGTAAATGCTCTTTATTCGAAGCTCCTCTCGGTTACATCATTGAAGACGTTCGACCAAACGGTGGAGTAGAAAAATTCAAATCTCCTGATTACTCTAACGTAATTTTCCATTTCAATTCCTTTGATTAATCTATACATTAGGATGTCATTGCTTATTCATTGATTTAGTTTCTAACAACATCCTTTTTTTTCTTCTCTATTATGCAGTGCACCCGCAAACCCTCCTGATATTTTCTGGGTTCTGATAGTTTTTTAGATTTTTAGGTCTTTTATCTTTCCTACTGCAAATTATTCTACTTTCCTCTTCTCCTTTTCCTCCTCCTCCTTGCTCCTTTTCTTTTGCTCCTGTTCTATTTTTCTCTACAAACAACCAGAATTGTTTTCTCCTTTGAGTCAAAATGGCCATGACAAACTCAGCTATTGGTTTTGAAGGCTACGAAAAGAGGCTTGAGATATCTTTTTTTGAGAATGGTATTTTCGCTGATCCAGCTGGGTTAGGTCTTAGAGCATTGTCGAAAGACCAATTGGATGAAATTCTGAACCCAGCAGAGTGCACTATTGTTGACTCTCTATCTAATGATTATGTTGATTCATATGTTCTTTCTGAGTCAAGCTTGTTTGTTTATGCTTACAAACTTATCATTAAAACGTGTGGGACTACAAAGTTGCTTCTTTCTATCCCTGCAATTCTTAAGCTTGCCGATGGTCTTAACATTGCTGTGAAATCGGTAAGATACACTCGCGGAAGCTTCATCTTTCCTGGAGCTCAATCATTCCCTCATCGTAGCTTTTCTGAGGAGGTTGATGTTCTTGACAGCTATTTCGGCAAACTGGGTTCTGGTAGCAAAGCTTACATGATGGGTGATGCTGGTAAGTCACAAATTTGGCACATTTACTCTGCAAGTGCTAAACTAGAAGCTTCACCGGAAGCTGTCTATGGCCTTGAAATGTGCATGACTGGTTTAGATAAGGAAAAAGCATCCGTGTTTTTCAAGACAAGCACATCTTCAGCAGCTTTGATGACTAAGAATTCTGGAATCAGGAAGATCCTTCCAAAATCTGACATATGTGACTTTGAATTTGATCCATGTGGGTATTCGATGAATGGAATTGAAGGAAATGCAATATCAACTATCCATATCACCCCTGAAGATGGATTTAGTTATGCAAGCTTTGAAGCTGTGGGTTATGAGTATGATGAGAAATCTCTGAATGAAGTTGTTGAAAGGGTTTTAGCATGTTTCCATCCAGCTGAGTTTTCTATTGCTTTGCACATTGATATGAATGGTGAAAAGCTTCACAAATTTCCTCTAGAAGTTAAAGGATACAACTGTGGAGAGAGGAGCAGTGAAGTTGTTGGAGATGGTGGTGCTGTTGTTTACCGTTCCTTTGTTCGAAAGAATGGCTGCTCATCTCCAAATTCTACTCTAAAATGTTGCTGGATTGAGGATGAGAGCGAGGAGGAAGAGGTGAAGGAGATATAAGTACTATGGTCTTAGTTTTTATGTTCTGTTCGTGTCTATCTTGTCTGTTTTCAGTGTTACTACCTAAATAAATTTGTGCTTATGTTATGAATAAACTGTGTTATGTTGCTTGATCATGTAATTTCTTAGTTTATTTACATTTCTCATGTGGGTTTTGTACTTGATTATATATCTAAATAAAAAAGTTTGTTTTACTAAGTCTTTTATATATTTGTTGTCGCTCCGGTAATGTTGATCATTCTGTTATAATAAATCCATTATATATTTGTACATCGGATGAATTTACGTTTTTGACATAGATTTTCTTATGATGATGTCCAGTGCAGAAAAATAATAAATTAAAGTTGTGCATGATAGTGATTAGTGAACCAATGAAAAATAATCTCATGTGAGTTTTGTTTTGTCAAAATAAAACTATATGGGTTTGTAAAATGAAACAAGTGTAAGTGCAACTATGACTCAGCTTACATGCATCGTGTGTCTGTGTGTAAACTAGATCAAGTTTTGTTATTTGTAATTTGATTTATTGTTGTTTCAATATATTTAATTTGTACATTGAGTCACTCTTATATTTAATAAATAAATTTTTAAATCTATATCAAATGTGTTGTCACAAATTAACAACAAATCATAAAAGAAGCGTCAATTATATATTTAGAGAAGGAGAAAAAAAATATAAAAAATTGATTTTTTTAAAGAAGAACAAAAATTTAAAGTTACTATAATATAGAGAACTAAAGTATATTTAACTCAATAATAAATTAAAGTAGTGCCTGATAGTGATTTAGTGAATCAATGAAAAATATAGTCGAATTTTGTTATGTCAAGATCAAACCCATGCGGGTTTGTAAAATGCAACTATGACTCAGCTTTCATGCATCGTAAGTGATTGCATTGCCTTGCAGTATCAAATCTTAACTTTAAAAATCAATTATTTGTGCACTTTTTTGTTTTTATTTATATTGTCTAAACAAGTTTGTGGCTGTGATTGTGTGATGCAGGAGTATCTAAGATAAGGTGTATGTGGCTCACTGTATGCGTGAGTGAATAAATACGTAAAAGTTAGTTGTGGATTGTGGCTAGAAATGGTTTTGGTTCATTGAAAATCTCACCGACCGGTACGACTGGGACAGAAGAGCCACGTGATTCATTTAAGGCATTTATTTATGGAAGGTCACATAGATGCAAGTTAGGGTTAGACAAGTTTGAAGCATTTATTGAAACCAATTAATTCATTACTCATTCCGTGTCACAGTAAATAATAGAGTAAATTTTTCAAACATATTAAAATAAAAAGAATAAAATAAAAGAAAAAATAATATTTTTATTAAATTATTTTTATCATGTATTAAAAATAATAAAAGTAATATTAATTAAAGAGTAAAATTGAAAAAAATATATTAAAAATTAAAATGGATCATTTATTTTGAAATACTCTTTTATTTTAAATAAGTCACTCATTGTGAGACAAAGGAAATATCATTTTTCAACAAATGGATCAGATCGGGTTGATTCGATTGCTTAATTTGAATACTATATGATGGTTTCGATTGGACTCAAATATATATTTTGGACCTGTCGAAAACCAAAATAACGAACTTAATTAATATATATTTTATTTATTTTTATTACTATATGGATGATCCATTGTAAAAATAAAATTCATAATATTGCAGAATATTATTATTTTTATAATTTAATTATAGTGTACTCTAAAAAATATAAGACATGCAATATAATATTTTAAATATTATTTAATTTATGTTTTAAAATATGAGAATGACAAAATTAATGTCACGTAAATTTTTTTTTAATAATAAAAAAGTAGTTCCTTAACTATTTTAAAATTTTGATATTTTAACTATTTTTATATATTTGTTATCCACTTCTTACTTTGTGGTCAAAGTTCAACTTACTTGGCACATACCAAAGCTAATATGTGTCTATCTGTTCCTTTTTTGCGTCCAATGTTGTTCCTGGATGTCTCTATTTTCCATCCAATGCTATTCTTGGACATACCTGTTTTTATCTTTCATCCAATGCTCTTCTTGGGTGTCACATATGTTTATCTTTCTGATGATTTTTTAGATTGGGTTTTTGTTATCTGATGTTTTTCCAAATATTCTCTTTGGGATTCTGATGCACTTCCAGAATTCCTTTTTACTCCCCAGTGAGTTTCCAGATATATATACCTTTGTAATTCAGATGCATTCTACCATCTGATGAATTTCCAGACGTGTCAATTGCTATCTGATGTTTTTCCAAATATCCTTTTGTGTCTATCTGATGTTCTTCCGGATATGACTTTTATCTTCTGATGTTTTTCCAGTGTTGCACCCCAAAATTTGCCCAACCTTAACCGACTTTTGTTTCTTTACATTTTGCATTTTCGCATTTCTGCATATCATAGCATTCGTTCTTGAGATAGGGGATCAAGGTTCCCGTGGCTCATGTTCATTTCGGCGCAAAGGATTGAACAACGAACAACGAGCATCAGAGGCTCAAGCATTTATTTTGCCTAGTGGTCAGGCGGCCGATTTTATTTTATTTTGCAGGATAACAGCAGTTCAGAAAGCAGCACTCAGGCTCATGTCAAGCATTTTCACAGTGATAATGTTCAAGAACAAGGTTCAGAAGCTTAACAGAGCTCCAAATAGTCAAAACAGGGCAAATGGACAGATTTCCCTCCAAAAGGCACCATATTCAAATTTTTGAAGGTGTTAATCGGTTAACCTATATGGTTAATCGATTAACCAAAGAGAAATCAGGCCAGATTTGAAATTTTAAAGGTGTTAATCGGTTAACGCATATGGTTAATCAATTAACCAGTGCAGATTTTGCCTTTGTACGTGATTTTTCAACGCAAAGCCATTTGGGGTCCAATTTTGATCACCAAAATCCAAATTTGTCACTTGGGAAGGATCTAGAATCATTTCATAATTTCATTTTCCTCCAAAATCCCATTCCTAATGCCAAACCACAATTCACAAACCAACTTCCAAGTCTTTGCTTTGGGATCCAAACCAAGATGATATTTAAGTGATTCACTCCAAACCAAAAGAATCCAATCTTCATTTCTCACATTCATTTTTCAGAATTCATCTCAATTCTCTCAACTTCTCTATTTCCAAAACCCTCACTCAAAGCTCTTCGTCATTTGGATTCATTGATTTTTCATTAAAATCAATGGATTCTTGAGCATAAACCTCCATTTATCATCATCATTGGATCAATTTTCATAATTAATTTTCGTGCAAATTGAGATCTGATTTTGGAGCTTGAGTTGGAAGTGCTTATTTGGAGTAATTTGGCTTTAAATTGTTTGATCTTCATTCCTCTTGCAAGAATTATTGTAGATCTTGAAGTTTTCCGGATAATCTTGTTTGGATCAACTCAAATTCAGTTGATCAACACTTACCGAAGCAAATCTCCGCTTCGAAGGTTGGAATTCTCGATCCAATTTAAATTTTGAGCTTATCATGTTAATCTTCATATTCGATTGAATTTTGGTTGATTTTGATCCGTTCGGATTGTGATATTGCTGTGTAATTGTGTATCCATGTTGTTGGATCTCTGTTTTCTGTTGTTAATTTCGTGCTTAAGTGATAAGTTGATCTTTTGGATCCATGGATAAGTTGTTTTTGTGATGGAAGTGCTTTTCTGCTGTTGTTGGAGCAGTGTTAATCGGTTAACCTATATGGTTAATCAATTAACCAACTCAACTTTCAAATTTTTTCAAACGTTAACAGGTGTTAATCGGTTAACGCCTGGTGTTAACCGATTAACATGTGTAAATTTCCAGATTTTCACACATTTTTAACAGGTTAACCGGTTAACCGTATGTGTTAACCGATTAACACTGTTCCAACAACACTGTTTTTGTTGTTTTGCATGCTTGCTTGGTACCGTTTTGTCTCGAATCATCATAGATCAGTGTGATGTATTAGGGATGAAATGTTTCTGGATACTTGTCATTGTTCTTGATTATTTAATCGAGACTTCCTCGACACACGCATTGGTTTTCACTTGAATGCATACTTATGTGTTGTCGTTCATGGTGATGATCCTTTTCTTGCATGTTCAGTTGCTTTCATCTTTTGCGCTTCCTCCATGTTTGCATCATTCTTGCATCGCTGTTGGGGTCGAGACGAGCTTGTGGCGGCTGCTTCCCCACACATTTTTCCTCCCTCCCACCATTCTAAGTGTTGCATTTTCACGTATGTATCTCTTACTTGTGATTGAATTTACTTGGTGCTTTCTTGTGATTTTTGCCATGATTCCCATAGGGTTCCTAGTCCCTCCGTTTAGGATGGGAGTAGGAGAGACATTAGATGTTCAATCCAAGCATGCTAACATTAGGTAGTCCCCTTTTGTATCTCAACTTTAAAACCACTTTGCATGACAATGTTAGGGCCTAGTTTCCCTTAGACCTTCCGTGTGTCTCTCTTCTTCTCGTCTTAAAACAATTCTAACTCATCTAATAAAGGCGATAAACGTTGCGCGCTACGAGCCTTAAGCTACACGGGGAATGATGAGTGAGGGGTCACCTCTTGCTTATCTAGAGTGTTTAGTGTATGTCCTGTTTGGGGGCGATACACAACGCATTCGCCTCCACGTCATAGTCTTTAGTACAACGTGAATCACAAACCGAATTAATTCACTTCACTAAAAAACACAAACAAAATCTCAAACCTTTTTCCTTCGGGATTAATCGAAAAATCTTTTTAGATAAAAGAGTGTCGTTAACTCTTAGTTCTACCGCAAACGGTAACGCCTAAGTCTCCAATGGTCGAGCTGCATACACCAACTGCTAGAACTATTTGTTAACCATACTCGGGCCTAAAAAACGATTGAACCAACCGGTGTTCTTTTTAGCCGGAACTATGTTTTCTCTGATCTTTCATACTAGATGAAAGTACGTAGGCACAAGACGCGATGTCTTGGAGAGCAACCTTTCTCCCCTTTCTCCCGTAGTTAGCCGAACTACGTTGACTCTGACT